ACTAGACTAATATCCCTTGGCAAGGGGTGGGATTAATCCCACGAAAATAAACAGGTGATTTGTTGAAGGATGCTTTGATGTTCATTAATACTACTGATTATGTTACAGGAGTATCTTGAAATACAAAATGATGAAGAAGAAGACGACGATATGAGAGCTTACGATGTAGTGCACATAAGTGAACCAGAACTAGCAAATGGTCATGTTGCACAGGATGATGATGATCCTAGTCATGATCACAATGCCAATGAACAAGTGAGATATACAGATATTCACGGAGCTACTGCGTCAGACGTTCCCGGCATACATGAAGATACGTCACGTGACCAGGTGGATGACGAAACTTCAATCCAAACAAAGTGTTAATGGGCCAAAGTACTTTGCATAGTGTGAGGTCTGTGTCACTTGATCAAACTCAACAACTCTCCAGTAGGTGAATATTTACTGGACACATTCTTAAATGCTTTTAGGCATTACGATATTTTCAACGTAAGCAAACGTGTTTTAACACGTGTAATCCTAATATTGTGTAATACTTGCAATACGTAATAGAGGCCCATTTTATAAATAAATGTGTTTATCGACTTAATGAAACAGTGATCAAGCCCAAAATATTCAATCGAGGTTGCAAGGTTGACCAATATTTTTAAGCTACTTTCTAGGTCTTGATTGCTTAGTGTTTGATCGTCAGGAAAGCGATGTGAAGATGGCTTAAAGTGAACAGATAGCCTCCTACGCGTGTTAAGTTGACACCTCACATGAACCATAAAATGTGACGACCACTCTTTTTTTCTTTTGGGTTAAAACTTTTMAGGCTAGTATAACAGATCAAGTGTGTCTAGTTGAAAGGGTGCTTACCATTTATCACGGGGAAAAACTAATTAATTATGTTCTAGTTTGAAAAGATTAATAAGATATTTTCTTTAATTAAGTTTGGTTGTGTTCTTTAAAAAAATGGTGTCATTCCGTTTCCTGTCAAAACTTTCCGGTTCTCCCGCTAGACGCGTGTCGTACCATTTTTCGCGAGAAATTAAATTTTCCCGCTCTTACCATTAGCAAACGAATGGTTTAAATGGTAATCACCCTAAGTGCTGCCTGGATGACAGCCATTTATTACTTCTTATTGATTATACTCGTATTACTGACTAGGAAATGAGAAGTTGTAGTAAATGCATGAATGGGATAGGATACCACCACTGTATGTGGTTGGTCACGTAACCAATATTTTTATGCCCTTCAAATCTATTTTAGTACAAATTTGATACATTGTCGATTCGATGGCTTAGCAGCTATTATTTTTACCACCAAAACACAATAAATGTAATTTATATATTCGTATTAAAATTGTGTCCATCCGAGTTTCTCTTCGCAAGGTTGACTTGTTTAAAATGCAGTTCACCTTTAATTCCCATGTGCATGTCAAAAAGCGCTTCTGACTTCCTGCTTAAATAAGCCCAAGTCACTCTTCACGGCTACTCTTGCTCAGAGGTCTACCTTATGTTCATACATGAGTGATTAGTGAATAACATAATCAGTAGATCTTCCCTGTCTCCCATCAGAACCAACCATAGTAGAATCCAGGATGGGTGTTTGTAAGCAACGTAAGTAATATTACAAAAATGTGTTATAAAACCACATGATTTTTATTTGAACTAATAAAATAGATTTGGAATAGCATTCTTAGCATTTGATGACTAGAATGATTATACTTTAGAAGGTTTAATGAGTTCCCACTCTACAGCTTTACTGAGTGCATTCTCAGCAGTCTTGTGAATCTGCTCCATCTCAGGTGTTGTTTCTTTGGATAAAACCATCAGAATCTCAAGCACTTCACTTTCAACAAGCTACGAAAAATAACAATATATTCGAGAAAATTTTTCAGATTAGTTCTACATGCATTGATGTCATATGAGAGCTTTCTTACAAAAAGGCTTTACAGGTGTGCAATATAGAGCCATGTGATGATGCATTATTAAGAAATGTATTATTGGTGTAGGAGTGAGCACTGTTGGCGTAGGAGGGAGCACTGTTGGTG